GATTAAAGATTGACAGGTCATGCATGGCATAAAAATCTAACTTTTTATAAATCAATAATAGGTCGACAAAGTACATGTAGTCTAAACTTTTAATTATTGAAGGCAAAGAAAATAACATTCTTTTTACCACATCTCTTTAAGAAAATTAAGGTCTCTGAAAATAAAATTTTGGTGTGGCATTCATATATTGTACGCATACACAAAAGCCTCGAGTCGACCATTTCCCTTTTTATTCTATTAAGAGATAACCTGAGCACTAGCGACAGAAATCACGTTTACATTGAGTTATCAGACTTTTGTTTAGATATACATGTTAACGTTCTAACATCCTGATATACCAAAGTGTTCAAATTGACATCAAGCAAGCAAGAGATCCAAGTACTTTAATAGTAAACAGAGTATAATTCAACAATGAAGAGGATTCATTGAGTATAAAATAAAATGATACATTGTAGAAGAAGCTTTGTTAAACCAAAAGGAGGAGAAATAGGATGATTAGGTTCAAAGGTCTGTCTTGCATTCAGAAACAACTCATAAATAACGTGTTAAGTTCTAATCTGTCCCCATCGATCACTATTATTAACGGACTTCTGAACCGTATTTACCCCCATATTTTGACTTTTAAAGGGACATGGACACAGTTTCAGCTGAAATTTTAAAATTTATTTTTTCCCCATTTTTACAAATATTTAACTAGAATCTGTCTAATGATGATCAAGAATTTGACCGCCAGTTGTCCAGATACAAGACAGAGCTCCAAACCTTTGTTATGTAAACAAGGTTAGTGTCATGTCTTTGTTTACACAGGTTAATATACTAATTCATGTATAAGATCGCTCAAAGTAGAAACATTGTAATTTCAAATAAAAATTAATTTTAAATACGATTCGACAGTTACTATTGATTTGCTGAACTTGTTATAAATATGATATTTTCTCTATATTTAAACAAAAACAAGTCACGAGCCTTGTACACATTATGAAGATCTTTAAGTTCTGTATCTTGTTTGTTAATCAACGAACGATGTTCAAATTTTTGCTAATTATTCAATGATGCCTTCGGTAGGAATTGTAAACATAAAAATTGGTTTAAAAAAATAAGTTGAAACTGTGTCCAGGCCCCTTTAATATTGACCTCTCCTGTTATGAAGAACAGTTTAGCTTTCGTTTTTCTTTATTTGTTGTTAACACGTCTACTTGATCATTAAAACTATGAAATTACCTATTGCATTATAAAATAAAGATTATCAGATTGTTTTAAATTTTGAATACATTATTTAAAGTGATTAATTATGAAGACTGGACGGAAGTGGGGACTTTAAATACCTCAGCAGTATAAAAATTAATAGCGCCATAGCGAGGACCAAAATACATGTACGTGAACAAACGGCCCAGATATCTATAAATCTGGTACATGTAATGGATCCTACATCTTAATAAAAATATACTCTGTTTACCTCCAGTATGTCAAGGAGCAGAGAAGCTTTTCATTTAATGCATTTTCACTACCGATTCAATACAGACCTACCTTTACATCAGAACGTACCATCAAGGATAGGTATAAGTCACATTATCCAACGATGGGGTATACGATGAGAAACCGATGCGTTTTTTGATGAAAATGGCGTGGTTGCCGGCCGGGCACCACTAGTGAACGGACGGTGACTGAGTTTTTATTTGCGAATCGGTGGAGTCATCGGTAGGAAATAATTCGTAGTTAAAATTCAGTGATGTCTCCAACGATGCTTCACATCGCTCTTCATCGGCAACCCATCATTAACATATCTTTCATGGATCGGCCGATGTATGGCCAAGCATCGTCCAATATCCGTTGAATCTGAGGTCATCGGGGAGTCTAGTGGTGTTCAACAGATAACGACCGATCATCGGTCGATGTTCGACCAAACATTGGCCCGTAGTCGACCGATGTACGAACGATGTTCACCAATGTATGAGCGATGTAATATAAATCGGCGAATTATCCTGGAACATCGTTTTATGATTAGCAATGCATCGCTGGACTTTTGTAAGTACGGCAGGCAACCACGCCATTCTTCTCATATAACGCATTGGTTGCCCATCGTATGCACATTGCTGGATAATGTGACTTATACTTTAAGGACTACTAGACCGATGTGTACCGATGTTGGGGCATCGTTAACACCACGGATTACTACCGATTACCACCGGTCTACGTCTACCGGCCGGGAAATGTGACCTAGGCAATAATGAAATTCACAGATTTGGAAAAGATACCTTCATCATCATCATAACTATGTACTGAGTAAAACATTATCAAACGATTGACGTAATTATACTTAAACATCAACACATATGACGCATGGACAAGATGGTTTAGAAATACAAAAAAAATTAAATCGTAAGAACATTTCTTGCCTCTTTCTGCAAATCACAAAAAGCAGATATGATAATTGAAAAGAATACATGCATTTTCACAATATTTCAAGACTAATCTTTTTACTTGAACAATTGACCAAGGATCCATGTAAATCACAATTCTGTACGAAGCAATCTTGCTTATCATACCTATATTCTTGGATTGTTAAATTCCCAGTAGTTCAAAGCAAATAAAATAAAAAGGGACTAGAAAATATTTCAAAAAAATTATGCTTTTTCGCTAAAAAAAAATCGATAGACTTTACCCAAAACCCCAATCCACGGGGGTTGTCCGTAAAGTTTATGGACGACATTGATAATTACTGAAAAACATTAATAAAATATTTGTAACTATTATTTTCATTAATTATTGTTTCATCTTATACATATGCTAATTTCAAACAAAAAAGCGCAAATAGTTATAATTTTATCAAATAAAAAAGACACGCAGTCATACCTGGGGCACTAAAACGAAAATCCCTGACGTTTCCCGACGTCAAAAGCTTAATAATGTAACTTTTCTCAACACAGTCACCATTTAAGTTAATACCTTTCTTATGTCGTGTTAAGCAGTCATTAAAAAAATATGTACAATCTGTTCAGATTTCATATGTAAAACAATATTTACATGTAACACTTCCTGTCTCAGATCCTTCTAATCATCAAACCTTTGTCCGCGTAAAAATGAATTTATTTATGGAAATAGGGCAGAAAGTCCCTTTACGAAACTCATTTTTATAGCACTGCAAATCTGTTCCTTCTGTCCAAAAATTTTATATTCATTTTAAATACTTAACTACGGTTTCTTTACTATATTTTTCCAACTGATTACAGCATTTATGGGTCTCCGTTGGTGTTTTTCCGACGTATACTCAGAATTTTATTACTGCTCTCTGCTCAGCCTTTTCCCAAAACGTCCGTTTTTCGAACAATGCCGATCCTGTCTTTATACATTTTTACCTCGATTTCTCGGCCAATTCTAAACTCTTACGTTCAAATTTTGCAGGTTTGAAGTTATAACTTTTGTCAACCTCACCATGTAAAAGCAATTGGAATTCCTGCGGAATTTTATTAGATACATTTGTAATTCATACAGTTTAAACAACTTTTTAATTAAAATTAAAACTCCGGGTCACCATCCCAAGTCAAATAATGAAGTCATAATTGAAATTATATATTTGAAATTGAATATAATTTTACATGTTGTAATTTACATTTAAGAAATTCTACAACTTTGGAAGAGACATTCTTGCTGATGGATAGCCTGAACATAGATAGTGTTAGTAATGCCAATGAGCAGAGAAGGTGATTTTGAAAGAATTAGTTTCTTTCACTATATAGTCAACCTAACACCAGATCCCCTCATCCAGAAATAACAAAATTGGAAGAGGTTCACTTCGTACTTATTTCTTTAATCCTTGGAACAAAGTAGAATATTTTTAAAGATTTAATGATTTTTTTTATTTAATATATAGAGCCCCATCCTAGCTCCAGAAACACTGGCGAAGACCCCGTCAAATTAGGTGTTTGAATAGTTTGTTTACTATTCAGGGTCAAAAAACGTGTTATTTTTTTTATAAAGGCATTTTCATTAAATAATCAACAGAATATTATTCTATCGTCACTTTCTTACCTTAAGCTCTGATCCTGGAGCCATTAATTTTAAAGGGTAAAGAGCCCAATGCTTATTGCAACCATATATAAAGCTTGATTGCTTGATGTCAAGTGCCAGAAAAAAAAATCTAAAGATTTCACTTATTTTGATGGTTTTACCCCAAACTCATTATCGGGGGTGGCAGAGGGGGTGGGGTGGGGAGGCAATGACATTTTAAAGCTATGAAAGACAAGCATGCAAGACAACATATGACCTAGGGAACTCATATTACCTCAAATATGATATAAAATCATCAATAGTAAAGTTATTTTACATATTTACTGACGGATTTCTGGTGATATTACAAATCTGAAATACAATTTAAATGGATAATACGTAGATTTTTGCTTTGTTTTTATTTCATTTCTTAACGAAAACCACATCGGCCACAAACTTATAACACGTACATCATTCAAATATAGTCACAAAGATTCTTTATGTCAAATGCATCACAAATCGATCTACGAATTATTTTTAGCTGGGTAAATTGTAAACAATTTAATTTTATTAAGTAATGTATTGCTAAACGTGAACTTTTACAGAATTCTCCTCGCATTTGCCATATATTAAGAGATCGAAAAGATTATCCCAATACGCTTATCTTCCACAACAGTTTGACAGTTAATACAGTATCTTTAATCTTTTGGAATAATAACACTACCTTTAAACCTCTACCTGTAATTTGTAGCAATATCGGATGGCAAACCCTTTTTATTAAAATAAATCAGGTCATTTAAAGCCTTCCAGTCATTGATATTTTCATCAGATAGTGAAGATTTTTTTCAATTGCACACCTTGACAGAAAGCAATGTATAATTTAAAAATTAATTATTTTTCATGAAAAATCAAAATATAGCATTAAAATTAAAAATTTTATGTGATATTTCCAAACAGGAATATATAGTTTTTTAGTATGACCCACTGTACACAAGAACCAATGACGTCAGATCAAAATACACAAAAGTGTGGCCATATTTGTAATGCATAAACTTCCAGGTAATATAATTTTTCCTCTATTTTTTTCTAATTTCTATTTCTTTCTATTAAGATCCCCTTTTTTCATCACTTATACTTTCACACGCACTTATATTTGACATTGTAAAGTAATTTGTCGTCGTTGAATTAATGTTACAGAGTATAATTTCCTTATATCAACCATGTTCTGATTTTTATCGTGTTTTCTCTCAAAAAGAAAAATACTTATGATAACAATCGTAAAGAAAATCCAGATTATTTCAGAAGGTTGAAGCAAGCACCATTGCGCACAGGCACATATTTTTATACTGTACTCCTACTTATTTTTAGTTCATAGGCGTCACAACACAAGGGGGTGGGTGGATTATTCCCCTTATTTTTTGCAAAGAAACATATCACGTATTGAAAATGAGACTTAACCCCCAACCGATTGAGTAGGGTTAGCCCCCTTCCCTCTTTCAATTTGCTTCTGATACCTATGAACTTGTCATCTAATTTCATGCACAGGGTACTCCCTACCTCTTTACATCAATAGGTAACTCAATCTTAGCCAACCTCTATTCAAGCCAGTATATCAATTTATCAATCATTAACCTATTTCAATATAGTTAAATTATAGATATAATTTGCTTGATATTTTTTTCTTCTGTAATATATTTTCCAGATGTCCTAGGTCAAGCCTTACAGCCATAACAGTTTAAGAATTTCGAAGGGTTATAATGATTTCCTGTTACACTTATCGTGTAGAATAAACCAAAGGCCTCTCAAGATTTTCATTCATATATACTTGCCTTACAACAGAAGACAGTATAAAACTTCCTTTACATGTTTCTCAGTTACTTCTTAGACTTTTTATTACCAAGACTTTTATTACAGATGAAAAATTGTGGCTCTCTTTTTAAAATGAAATATGAATGATTTATATTGTGAGTATATAATTCCGAAGATCCAAGGAAAGAATATTTTACTTGAATATGCTCATTATTATAGACATTGAACAAGATGAATGATTCAAAAGATCAGCAATCAACTGATGATTGTCACGGACATGATCCAGTGTCACTTACCAATGGTCTGGAAGGTAACGTGTGTTAGTTAAATGGTTATATTTGATTTAAACATTGAATTGACTATCTAAAATTCTATGACAAAATCACATGAACAGCTAAAAAAAATCATCACGTTGATATGTTAGGAGAATAAAAGAAAATGACAAAATTCTTTTTTGTGGTTGAGTTTTAATTTATTTCAATGTATGTTTAGGTATGTCACGTGAAATTAGATATATCAAGGATTTCTTTGAGAAGTATATTTTGCATATGTGCTCATATACATGTACATGTAGCAAGATTCAAATTGACCCAACGGTATACTTAAGTTGAGTTTTCTCACTTAAATCTTAAATCTTACCTAGTATTACTATTTTATCTATTTTTTATTCAAACTATTTTAGCAGGTGTAAAAATAGTTTCAATACCTGTAATATGTATCATTGAACAAAGCATGCAAATTAATGCACATAACATATTGTGAATCTTTAATACATTTTAGTACATGTACTTAAACATGCTAAAATGTATCATAGTGTAGGTATTGAAAAATCTTGATAGGCAATAAAAATATTTTTGGATCAAAGTTTATGTTTTAGTGCTTGTCGACTGGAAATCCCATGTAGTATAAAAGATAATACAATTCGGAATCAGTGAGATAAATTATGCAATATTGGTCAAAATATGCGATTTTACGGCTAAAAAGTATATACAGTCATGTTACCCTCATTCTTTAATATTTCTTATTTTCTTTGTAATGTCTATTTATAAAATTGGTTCTAAGATATACATTGATATACATTGAATGCTATATTTATGAAATATTCATTGTATATAATAAAATGAAACATTCTTCAATTAAAATATGTAGAACTAAAGATGCTCTTTTTGAAGAATTTTCTTCTAAATATACATTATAAATACATTCCATTACAAGAAATAATCCCTTATAGATCTTGTTTTTAAAAAAAAAATGGATAAATTTCATTGCTGATGTAAAATAGGATAGGACAATAGGACTGTTTAAAAGTTATATTTTCTGACCGTGATTTTCTTATTAAGTTGACGAGTGATATACTGAATATTTGAATTTGCAGAACCTATGGAAATTGAGGAAAGTGGTACTGTAATTTTGAACGCAACTTTAGACAGGTTGAATGCAAAGCAGAAACCCACTTCTGATGGTGACAGACATAAACCTGTTTTGCTTATCAGTGGTCAGAAATTGGAGAAAAGTAAGGTTTTTTTAATGGAAATATCTAAATTCAAAAAGATTGCATTAAGTATTGAAACGGTTTTTGCCCCAGTTATATAAAACAACTAATACAAATAATAAAATATAACATGCATTATAAAAGAATGAGGCGTATTTTCTTAGTTAGTCGGATAGGCTACGAGTTAATAACTTTTTCCACTGTTTTTCCGCTGATGCATTTCCAGAATGTGGCGCAGAATCTATGGACACTAATAATCATGAAAGACATTTGGCTCCAGTAAAGAAAGCCAAGGATAAACTGACCAGAAAATCGGGTATTTTTAAAGAATTTTCATTTTGATCCTGAGTTTATTTTGAAAAATGAAAATAGAACAAAACTGGTGTAAAACCTTTCTGACGATGCAATTTCAGTTATCCTACTTTTATTATGTATTGTTTTATGGACATTGATATTGACCATAACTTTTGATAAGCTAGTGCTAGGACTTTCATATTTCACATGTATATTTATTGTGGCAAGGTCTTTTCAGTGTTATGACATTGATATTGAATACCGCCCTTTATCTCCATATAATTCATTGATCATCTTAAGACATTTGAATGAAAATAAGCAATAACAGGTGTGAAAAAAGATTACATAGATCATTTTCCTTGTCGTCAGTTAATTAAGCCACAAACGATGTAAATTATTGTTTTCAAAAATACATGCAATGATGGCTGAATTTAGAGGATATTATGTGGCAAAGTTTTCCAGCACAAAACACTCAAAACTCGTTCATTTACAGGAAAAGGTGTAACACCAATGGACGTTGACAACAAAGATAATAATTTGCTGAAAAGAAGAGTTTTAGATAGACTAACACATTCTGGATATGTTGATGGTAATGTTTGATGTTTTTGCCATAAAGAAAAAAAAATCTGATTTGAACCATTTCTGAAATCACAATACATAATCAATTTTTTTTTTCAAAGACTTCCACTTCCTGAAAGGGGAGCCAGAGATTCAAACAAGCAAACGATCAACTTTTGAGAAGGGGTAACAGCTAAATAAGATATTGTGGAAAAAACTTTCCAAGCCATCGATGACTGGTGTTTTCAGAACTTAATTGCAAGCACTCGAGCAAAGAATAGAATTTAGTTTGGAGAAAAGACCCAATTTTCCCAGGAAATATGATCGATTTATATTATTGTTGTATATCATATACACTTCATGACTTTCTGCTCTATGTTGTAATTTTAGTTATAATGAGGGCCTTAAATTATTTAACATAATGATGAAATGTCTGCAAGATTTTGAAAATGAGCAGATATTAAGGATTGCTACCATGTTCGGTTTGAGATGGAAATCATTCTCTAATTCGATTTCTTTTTTCCACATCATTTGATTAAAAGAATCATTTTATTTCATATCTTATAACATGCGTTCCATACGACACAATAAGTTACGCAAAAAACGCATCACTCCGCTTGATGGTACTTTCAGAAAACGCTCAATTGAAGGGCATGTTTTGAAGAGAAAACAAAATAGTATTCCACTGGTAATTTAGGCTTTCAAAGTACAATTTTAATAGTCAAACACTTTAACTTGTTCCAATCTGATAAAAATTAACAAGTACATGTAATTAAGGTAATATAACTAAACATCTTGCTTCACCTTCGAATCGATTTGGGTTAGTGGTGCTTTGAGCTAGTGGGTCATATTTTTTTTAACTTTCTCTTTCACATTGCTTGCAAGAAATTAACGTATCAGTTAAGGAACTGTTATGAAAAAAATGCTTGATTTTATAAAAAGCTTTTTATACTTACAGTAAAGTTGTATATGGTGAGGTTCAAGCACTTCAAAATTTGTTAGACCATCAGGAGAAGTTAAACAATGACAAGACAGGGGTCATCATTAAGGTAAATATAATGGGGAAAAAAATGAAACTCGTACGGGAGCTTCTTAATAAGGTACAGTAGAATATATATTTTTTTCAATAATGCCCCTGGTGGTAAGATGGGTTCACGATAGAGAATTCAATTTTTACTTTGCAAGATAAAAAAAAGATGTTCAGAATTTTTTTTTAATTAAAGGCATCATGTCAAAAAAGCACGGAAGCCCATTTAGGACCTATCGAAAAATGTTTTTGAATCCGATATATCGAAATGTCGAATTTGTGATAACGAATTTAATTCGTTATAACAATTTATTTGAATTCGTTATAACGAATTTAGTCTGTTTAAAAAATTTGTTGATTTCGTTATAACGAATTCAAAAATTTGTTAATACGAATTAAACTCGTTTGAACAGATTCTAAAACTTGTTATAACGAATTGAATTCAAATAAAGGAATTCCATAATTTTCTAATTATTTATTCAGTGCTTTCAAGGGCATGGTAATTCCATAATAGGGAATGAGAATTTTGCATTGGAATATACGTATAGATATATGAGAGCCCCATGATAACACATGTCCATCATGTCATTTTTTATTCTATTACAGAGAAAATTAAAAAATCAAGTTATTTTTTGTACTGCAGAAAAAAAAACTTCCTTCATGATAACTATAACTTTGTTTCACACATTTCAGGAACTGAGTTCAGACATAAGAAATTTTACTGAAATAGAGAGAGTTGGGAATGGAGTTTATGGTGAAGTGTTCCACTGTCAAGACCGTGCCACTGGAAAACCGTTTGCTCTAAAAAAGGTACACACTATTTGCATGTCAGAAAGACGAATTGTGAATGCAAATTAACAAATTGTGTCATGATCATGTAACTGATTATGAGTTCTCTGGATTCATGGATTCATGTTAGTATTTATGATTTGTTTTTGTGTATTGTCGATGTTTAGATTTCTGGCTTATCACTTTTGCCTTTTATTTATCTACCTTTCTTCCAAAATGCCTCGAAAGTAAGTTTGTGCAGTTAAGATAAATTCTCCTATGCTTAACAACCTACTACTCATTTGAGTCTATACATGACTAAGAAATTGACTGACTTTGTCTGGATATTATCATTTTAAAATTACAGAAACTCTATGAAAGAAATTTTGTTAAAAGTTTCATGTTTCAAGTTAATATTTTTCATCGCTTTATCGAATTAGCGAATATTTGAAAATGTAGATTCAATGATTTATTTGTACTTCACCTGTTTCATTCAGGTGATTTTTTGCATGCTTTGCTGATCCTGTCCAGTGCTGTGTATTTTTTTCATGTATTTTTTTTCCCATATTCTCTATGTGTCTGTCTTTAAAATATTAACAGTTTCAGCTTTCCCCCTTTTTTTATATTAGGACCTAACCCGATCAAAATTAAACTGATCCCTATCAAAATTAATACAAAATAAATAAAATTCTAATTTATCGTCTCTTCATGTATTTACAATGAAAAAATCTATTTTCTTGTCCAGTTCAATAATGTTTAACCAAATGAGCATTCTCGGGGAAATGGTATTTATTTTCACTAATTGTACAATTATAGTTTTGATCGGTTTAATTTTGATAGGGATTGACCAAAATAAAAAAAATAAATTTCTCTTAAATTTGGCTATTTCGTTTCGATTTCTTTATAAATGTAATTAAGGAATGTGTTCTTTCCAGTTGTGACTTGTTCTAAAAAGATTTTAACCAAAATCCAAGCCAAATTTTGTGTTTTATTTTCAATTTTTTTTATTTAAAAAAAAGTTTAATATCTAAACGGTTTCTCTTTACATATTTTATTAGGTATTCATATGATGCATTCATTTACATTCTTTTTTTACTAGAAAGCATCTAATTTGGATGTATATATTATTTTTTTTCTATTGTCTTTGGAAAAATACAACAAAAAAATCATATAAATAATTAAGATCTAATGTCAGCCTTTCAATGATGACACCATAGTTTAAAAAGTTGACTCAGAGATCTATAAAATAAAAAAAGTTGGTTTAGCAGTCCTTCTCAAGTTAAGGCTGAGCTATATCGATCATGTACATGCAGTGAAGAAAATGCATTAATTCTTTCCAATCTCCCCCATTGAATATTAAGTTTAAAAAACTTGATGTATGATTATTATGCTTAATGTAACCTCTAAAAATTGGAATTTGTGGGCGTAAGGTTCTTTATTAGACCAGGACGTTATTGTCTGTATGGGAAAATTGAATTATCTCTTTGAAAATGCTTGGAATGTAAGGGAATAAACTAATTAAGGTAAAAACAAAGACCTTGTTCTTTTTCTGGCTTCCCAGTTGCAGACTTCTTCAGAAGCACAAGGCTCCTTTTAACCACATTAAGAAATTATGCGTAAATTCTTTTTCAAAACAAAGAAAATCGTATTTTTATACTTTCCATTGACGGCTCCATCATGTTGAATGGCATGTGTCATCTTGTGATGCAGAATTGTTAGTCCGTTAATTATACCCTGAATTGACGACAAATTTTACTCTATTTTCTGATCATGACAAGGGGCAGCGGGTGTGACCGTTCGGCAGGGGATGCTCACTCCTCCATGGCACATGATCCTTCCTCTGATAGTTTGGATGTCCGTGTTTGCTCTCCTATTTTATCAATATTGTTTGATGGATTTTTAGCTTAAATTCTGTTTCTTATCTCCTTATATATTATCTGAAAATTAAAAAGCATCTATATATAAGGCAACCTTAATAAGGTTAAAATTGCATATATTTTTTGTTTTAGTTATGTCTCTTGAACTTAATTTTTGTGCAAACAAATTAAAATTATATTTTGGTTGTATTCGGGAGCATCTATGGATCTAGTTTGATTAAATGTTGGTTGCATTCGAGAGCATTTATGGCTTAACGAAACATCTAGTTTGATATGACCTCCTTAATTTTTATTGTTATGCCATGAACTTGTGAATTTGTCTTATTTTTATATAGAAATATTAATTGTGATGAATCCTTATGGAAACATACATCAACTCCATTGAAAGTGATGTTATTAGTTTCAGGATTTTTTTTTACATAATATATACATGTATATTTATAATAAGTGAGGAAAGCAATGGCTAGTGACACTAATTTCTTATGGATTGAACCAAAGTATGTTGTTTTACGATTCATTCGAGGATTCGTGTTGTTATTAAGCTTTCATAATCTACCGTCCAAGGACTTCAAATTTCGAGCTATAGTTTTCACGACTAATGGTCAGTACTGTGGTAACGCCCCCTTTTCTGTCTTGTAACATAGTTTTAAAACGGTCCTGTTTTATTAGCGATTATTGGAAAATAACCCCTCATATGACTTCTTCTTAAAATCTTTTTTTTTTTGCTCAAAACTCAGAAATTACCAGAAATGTTGACATAATAGACCTCATTCGTACCATTGTTTTTTCTGATTTATCACATAAAAATATTCAACTTATATATAAACAAGTATCGATGATGATATACATTGTGTATAATCTCACAAAATAAGTTTGCTGAAGGGAAGATATTTAGAATTTGAAGAACAACAGGTCAGTTATGTGACCATTGTGTCCCGTATATCTTTGATTTTGACTGTTTTACAAGATACATGTAGCTAAACATAACCATAACTTGCTAACTTCTGTGAAACTAACAACTGCCGTATTCTGAAAGGAGAGGACTTTTTTTAGATTTCCAGGAACTTTAATGTGGAGGAGGTAAAGATGTTAATGAGGCTTGAACATGAGAACATCATAACCTTGTATGGGTTTATCAAAAAAGACAGAGTCGCACTTATTCTAATGGAATATGGAGGTAAGAACTGCATGAAAAAGTAATTTCTAATGAATTTTCTTTCTATACTCTAACCATACTAAAATGATTTTATGGTGATTTTCATCTTATGATACCACCTTCCCATTTACGAGATGAAACTTGTTTTTACCTATGCTATACGATATGCATGTTACAACGTGGGGCATAAAAATTTTAGGGGAAAATTGGGGGGTGGGGCGGGAAAGAGAAATAAATATGAAAAAAAAAATTAAATAGGAGGACGCCCACTCGATACATGCATTGTATAAAAAGGTTAACATCAGTACTTAAGAGGCCATGCCAGTAAGCATTGAGCTTTGAATGGAAAGTCAAAAATTTTAATTTTCTTGAAATCAGTGTTTATGGATTATTTCCATCACAATTAAACAAAAAAATACAAAAATACTGATTTTAACCATAACGACACTGTCGTATCCAAGGAAAAACATTTCCTTAGTTACCAGAATAGATTTTTTACTTTCAAAACAGGCAAATATTGCCATAAAAAGAGTATATATGCACATAGATGTTGTCAAAAGATTGTTTGCAATTACTCATTCCTTAAAGAGGACTTAATTCTAAGTTCTTAGGTGACCAACTAAGTATGATTACATTTTTTCAGTACGTTGCTATGGTGATGGGAAGAAGAGATATGATTTGAACAAAAAAATAGTTGAATTTGCACCATTTTTTGAAAGGCTCTTAAAAAAATGCTGTGCAACTACTTATAAACTCTTTAGTGTGATTTTGTTAGGGTTGGGTTAATTAAAGAATTAAAAAAATAAAATTGGGTAGACAATCAAAAACAATGTTGCCATGGAGATTCAAAGATATGCAAATTTAGGCATTTAAAGATGATTTCCTGCAAATAGTTCATGGTATTATAAGTAATTTTTCATTTAAGAAACAATGTCAAATGTAACAGATTGGTGCATCTGGAATGAAAATAAGTCATAAAATACCATGACCTTCTTTTCACCTTGACCTTTGATTTCAATGTCAAATTATAAAGGACTATACATGTTAAGAGCCAATTTTGCCCCCTTAAAAATCAACATTTTAGAATGATATTAAGATATGTTTAATTGATATTAAATTTGAAGATGAATATATATTAGAAATATTTTCTTCTTTTTACCTTGACCTTTGACTTCAATGCCAAATTATAAAGGACTATATATGATAAGAGCCAATTTTGGCCCCCTAAAACTCAACATTTTTGAATGATATTGAGATATGTTTGATTGATATTGAATTTGAAGAAGAGGATATATTTGAAGTATTTCCAAATATTTTTCATATTTATATGCACTCACTGGCTGAAAATGACATGAGAAATAATGCTATTTTTGCTATCTAACCAAAAAAGGCCAAAAAATAGGCCCTATTGATGTTTTGTCTTATGGGAAACAGAGTGCAGTGTAGAACATACATATTTTTTCTGTCACTAATAAGTATTGGATGGAAACATCTTTGGTAAAAATATAAAGCTTGTTCTAGTCTGCGCTCTATATTTTCTGGAAGAAAAACTGCTTGAAAATATGCAGTTTTATACAAAATATGCTAAAATGGCGGGAAAATGTGAACTTTATGATGTCATATTTCTGAATTAGCAGCATTTTGATCAATTGAAAATGACCAATAAATGTTGCATGTATAGCTGCACAAATTAAAGCTATATATAAAGTAAAATAAAGATATTCATTGTAAGGGGCCATTTGAGGCATTTATCATATATTGCTCTTTATTTTTTGCATCATAATTTTCAAGTCATGGAGATTTAAAAATAAGCAAATTTGGGTATTTTTAGATGATTTCCTGTTAACTATTCAGATCACTAGAATTAATTTGTCCTTTAAGAAACAATATAATTATATATTCTTATTCCATATGGGCTCAGTTGTAAAAGGTAATGAGTCATACATTACTTTGACTTCTCCTTACCTTGACCTTTGACCTCAAGGTCAAACTATTTTTTTTTTTGTTATATATTCTATGTGTAATAATTTCTTATCTAAATCTACATGGCTTTTTATATTTTGAACCCTGCTTTGAATATTTCATACATTGATACACAGTGTTTGTGAATTGTTTGACAATTCAAGAAGAGAAATTCATGTTCTACTGTTGACCTTGACCAAAGCTGCAAGGTCAGTTGCTTAATTGAGGTCCATGTTAATAATTTTAAGTATTACTGCCTGTTGTTGAAATACATGTACTAAATATTTCAAACATGTGCAAAGTAATTCATCATGATCAACCTTTTGTCAATACTACATATTGATGCTTCAACATGATTAAAATACCCTTGATGTTCCCTAAGATTTTTCTGCTCTGCAGTATGCAGTATACTATATACTGTTTAAGATGATGAATTCCAAACAACAGCAAAGTTAAAAAAACCAGTTATGACTAATTCCCCTTTAAAAGTCTCTCCTTTAATACACTACTACCGGGTACATGTACTGAAAGCACTTACAGGAAAATGCAATGAAAAATTTATTTTATTTTCCCCTAGCTTTGCTTATGTTATTCATGTCAGACTAGACTAAAAAGTATTTAACAAAAATTAATTTGACCACATTGTGCTTTCATTTGACCTTGACCTCACTTCCATCAAATTGTGTTTCAATCTGTTTTAAAGAAACCATTCATAATATTTTTTGCAACTTCATATGCTGATACATACTGATGAGAGCTTTTCAACTGCATCAACATTTTTTGACCTTGGCTTTTCCTTTGACCTCACTTTTCTGAAATTAGTGTCAAACTTCATTATGCTGATACATACTGATGTAAGTGATTCAACTGCATCACTATTCAAGATATTCTGGTCAAATTTCACACACTAATTCAAATTTTCATGTTGCATTACTAATATAACCTCGACAGGGTATTCATGCCCTATGAACATATTTCTAGTTTTTTTTTTTTTTTTTAAATAAAATAAAATTTAAAAAAATAATTTGTCCCCTTTGCACAATCCTCATTTCCTTTTTAGGGAGGAGGTTTCTTTTAAGTGTATGAGTACTAGTAATGCTTCAACTCTTGACAACTAGTCCTTAACATGCTTTAGACAATACCTGGTAATAAATAAAATCAGAATGTTCTCCCAAATCCCACATTTTAACTTGGAAAATCCTAAAAATCAAAAATAAAATTTTAGTGGCTACTTATTCTTGAAAGTCCCATTTCCTAATAGCTCAAAAATACAAGATTTTTTTTAATATTTAGAAAAAAAAACATGATATTCTTGGAATATTTATTCATTTAAAATTTAGTTTATACATATATAAATATAGTTTATATATAATGATGCTAAAAAAATGCTAAAAAATTAATACAAAGAGTCCAGGCAAGTTGAAGTTTTACCTGTGATCTAGGCATTAACATGAATTAACTCTCCATATCATATTTAAAAAAATACATAACACACATAGTCCTCTATTCCATTCCATTCCTTCACACATTCACTACTGGGGATAGATGTTTTTTAGACAGCTATGTGGCAATTGATATGGAACATGGTAAAACAATTATATTTAAAATCTAAATTATTGTTCGAAACAAGACACATGAAGATTTCCTCCAGTGGCTTCTTTAGAGCAACAGGATGTTATCTTCAACTACCTTTTGCTGTAAAAAAAAAACAAAAAACAAATTTATGTATTAATCCTATATTGATATATATTTCCATGGATATTTTAATCCATTAATTTTATTCAAACTTCTATGTATATATTAACACTCATGAGGAGACAAATTGATTTATGAACTACCTTAACATAACCAATCTTGCTTCCTTTTATATAGAATTTACAGATTCCAATTAAATTGTTTTTTTTTTTTTTTTTTGGGGGGGGGGGGGTAGAATAACTTTTCTTTGTGTCATTAAGTAATATATTTCATCTAAAACATAAAGGTAAATAACTTTGATGCTATATTTTTCCACATTGAATTGGTATTTGTACCATTCCCTACTCATTTGGCAAATTAGTAAAAAAAAAAAAAAACTCATTAGTCAAAAATGATAAGTATATTTGTCAGATTGTTACATTGATGTTATGAAAGACTAATTAAAACTAAGATTTGGACAAAGTTTAGGTTTTGAAACTCTGATTTATTAATAGGGGAGAAGGTGAGTTAAAATGATTTTTGTGTATATATTAGGGATTTTAGTCTTTCCAGCAGTGAACTCATGACCTCTTTAACAGTTTAATACACAGAAATCATAGGCATACAATTATTTTATATTTCATTATTAGCATTTATCTATCTTTAATTGTATTAGGAGTAATTTAACAACTGCAGAATTTAACATTTGTGGTCATATAACAGGTTCCTCTTAATTACCTGTAAGGCAGTAAGTTAGTTGCATCACTCAATATTTGTATCACATCATAGGATAGAAAATTAATCTTGAGGTACCTTCCTAATCTTTACTCTTGCTTTAAATAGATAAATTTATCAAAGTTTACCCAAAAATTTACATGAAAAATGTATATTTAACATACCATTATATGATATTTGTCCAAGTACTCCAAGTTAGAAGTTTTCCCTTTTCTCCCGCATTTCCTCAATTGTTGTCTGTTCCAGTCTTTCCGGTCTCCTTTACTAGAGAGTTCATGCAAGGGAGGCAATCCAATCGTTTTTCAACAGAGTTTTCCAACAATTCAATCTGATATTTTACTTAAGGTTTTAAGAGTCTACCCAATTTTATTTATTTAATATATTGAACAGAACATTCTCCTTCTACAGATATATATAGAAATTTTTTAAACTGCACAGCATTTGCAAACCACTTAGCTCTTTATGGGATATAATTCTACCGGTAAAATCTTAATAAAATTAAGCACAAATTAAATTTTACTTATAAAATAGAGAAATATAGTTCAAAGCACTTTATGACCCACATTATTAAATTATACCTAGAGTTTTGATGTCAAATATATGAATTATAACAGGATAGGCCAGTCCACATATTTCTCTGATAAATATGACAAAATGCTCTGGTTGCCATGGAAATAAGAGGTCATATGCCCGGGTAGATATATTTTTTTGAAAGACTAATCATATGCATCATGTTCACAAAATTTGAGCAAAAAATAAATTTTTCCACTTTCCATGTTTATATAAGGTGAAGCTCAATGCTTATTGGCATGGCCTCTTAATATATAAAAATAGTTTCTTGAAGCATCTTAAATTTATATTAATATATTACACTATTTGTTTTCCCTTAAAAGTTTATGGTGAGTTTTTAAATGTTTTTACAAATATTGTAGCGACTAACCTGGAGAATTTTTTCTTGAATCTACAAATGAACCTAATGGATGAAAAATTGATTTGGAGCATCATCAAGCAAGGTCTTTGTGCCCTTGAATACCTGGATCAAAATCACATTATGCACTTTGATCTGAAACGTAATAATTTTATATCAATTATTGTAGTTTTTAAGTAAAATATATATTGAATAAAAATTGCTATTTTTTTTAAATGCGTTTTAATATAAAAGTTTGAGATATCATCATATAAAGATTTCTCTTTTTGTGTAGCCGACAACATATGTATCACGGCCAGCATGGTGGTGAAACTGACCGACTTTGGATCTGCAATTAGAAATGTAACAGAAAAAGACACCCTTGCATGTACACCTGAGTACATGTCCCCTGAAATGTGCTACTTTGTCAAACCTAATACCAACGTGAGCAAGACGGACATGCCCCTAACTGGGAAATCAGATGTTTTTGCATTCGGTCTCGTCATTCAATACATTCTTGATAGAGAACATACACAGCTGAAATTTTATGGCAAAGATTTCAATGATATAGGACAGCTGAGGATTTGTATTATCATTAACGTATGTCACTGTTTTTATTTTTATTTTGTTTTTGTAAAATAATCGAAATATTAAACATACTAAACTTTCCCAGTGTATTTCTTTTATCATCAAGAAACAAAGCTTCCTCCATGAGCTTACATTGCACATTATACCTGAAGGACAGTTAAGCCTCTCGGGCTTTTGTATTCTAGATTTTGAATCTCATACTCATTATTCACTGGATGTAAAGAATACAAAATATTTTAAAATGAATGATAATTTTTTACTGCAAATTCATATTACTTTACAGAATGCAAAGGACCCTGATACAGTATTAAATGAGATGATAACAAAGAATGGTAATGTTGCCATCAGAGTTCTTCTTGAAAGGCTTCTGCAGGGTTGGCCCAAAAATAGAACCAGTGCAGCAGAGGCTCTAGGCGTGATGAAAGGTACATGTTTATAATGAAATGATTCAACCTAATCATGAATGATTAACATTCTTTTTAAGAAACTTAATCATAGTGTGTTGCATCATTATGATACATCCCTCATTGAAGAACGATATGTGCCTGTTTCTTTTTTTATTCGACGCCATTAAAACCTTTCAGGCTCTGTATTTTAACATCTATTTTTCATGAATAATATGGTCATCATTTATGATAAATATATGTGTACGTATATGGGGCGGGGATGTGGGTAAAATGGGTTTCAAAAGCAGGACCAATTTGTCTTAGGAAATGATATGACTCAAAGCTATAGGCCTCTTATGTTTTTTTTTTATCCCAAACAATTTAAATTTACTTTTTTTCAGATTTCACGCTGGGACCAATGGCCAAATAGCTGGATGACGCTAATTCGTAGATATTTGCCAGAAAACGAATAAATTTGATATAACGATTGCATGAGTGTTTCTTGTTAAACATCGGGAGGGTAGTCAATCCTTTACGAAAAATATATACTATACACAGGGAAATTTTGACCCCATTCTATTTGAAAAAAACCCTCTATCGCCCTTGTCACAATTGGGCAAATTCAAAGAACCTAGTCCTATTCTAAAATACAACTGTAGTTGGCGAATTTTAAATGGGACAAAATTGTCAGCAAGTGAAAAAAATGCAAAAATAATGATGTATACAGTAATATAAGAGAGAACAGGTGGCAAACTGAAATCATGTAGAAATTGCTCTGCTGGAATGTTCCATGATGCCGATTTATACATGTACATGTATCCGGTTTTAACAGTTAGTATCCAGTAAATCTCAGATCATTTGATTTTTTTGAATTTTATTCGAATTCAAGACATAAAAATAAAAATAATTCATTGTTATTTTAATATAATTATACTCAAATTGTATATACATTTTGGGTATATTTTTGTACCATGGTCTTTCCGTCTTGGATATTATTTTCTTTTCCCAAACTTTCCACTGGGACTGTGTTTGGCTCCAAATTTGAGTTCAGGTGTTTTTATTCAATCAAAACCATTTAGAATATATGATACATGATGAAAAGAATTTACAGTCAGGTCAGAGGTATAATTCAAGTATATGGTATACATAACTAGAGAATAAAATTTGGGAGAAAGTAAAAAAACACAAACGATGTATATGTAGTGATGAACAGTGGTGGCATGTGTTTTCTCTGCAAAAATCATACTTCCATGAACCCTTCTGGCATTTAAAGCAATAGCCAAGCAACCTACTGAAAGATGATGGTTTGAGCCATATAGTTGATCAATAAGGTTTATAATTTTCACAGATAAATACGGTTGAATGTGAAAAAGGTCTCATTTCCCAAAACTCTAAGCTTTGCAAAAAAAAATGATTTGATTGATGGGTGCAAATGTTTTCATTATTAAAAAAATGTACTTCTTGTGAAAAGACCTTTTTTGATACCTGAAAAATCAATACCATTGAAGACAATTCGTTTATATTTAGGTAAAAGGGAATTCATATTTTTGAATTGTACCTGCATGCGAGCACTTTTTTGGGGGGAAGTTTAATCGAGACCTTGAGTTTTACGTACTTTTGAAAAGCCTAACTTTTCCATAATTGATGTTTTTGGGTCTTATTTCACAGATGTTTTTCTTGCAAAACGTTCTTCACTTGATTTCAAAAATCAAAACATTTGAAATTTTGCCATAACTTAAAATGAAAATATGAATAATGATAAAAAAATATGTAACAAGTTTGGTTATAAACAAGGAATTACATTTCGTATCCATTTAACTTTGCACCGGTCCCTCATAAGAAATTGAGAAAACCAGCCATGATTTTCATTTTTTAAAGAGTTTGAACAAATTTACCAAGAATGCAGTAATCCTCAAAATCATAAACAATACGAAGGATTACTATCGAATCGTTGTATTTCATGGACGCTCAATTTTATTTTTAGGTATTCGTGGGTACCTCTCAGTCACAAATAAACTTCCTCCGCAAAATATTAAAAAAAATAATTCACGAGTTTTATTGAAGGTTAAAAGAGAATACAGGAAGTAAAGTTCCTACAAACCTATTATATTTTAGCAATCCGTGAAAATGTGCTCGGATATTATTGATACAGTACTGTAGTAATATTATGCATGAAATATTTCATTTCACTTGACACTTTATCAAATTTCATCGTAGAGAAAGGGCCTGGAAAGTATAGCTTTGGTATTCATCCTTTCTCAAACATTAAGAGACAATTGCATTATCAAGGAAACCAAAATCAACAAAATTGATACTCGAAAACAGCTTTTTCGAGGGAATTAAATAGGCCCAAATCTGTATTGAATTATCCATTTTTTTCACTTTCCGGGCACTTATAATAAAATCCAGTCATGTCTTTAATATACTCTTTTAATAATAAATGAGACCCTTTATTCAGAATTTTACACGTGCTATACAGTGACGTCAGTTTCATTTAGTGACGTTATTTTCCTACAGCCGCCAATGGCTGACATTGAGAGCCGTCAGATTCGTATACAATCTCCTGTACACAGTCCTTGGTTATGACGACAAAACCTTCTGGCAACACGTAACTGGAAATCATTCTAGACAAATTAATCAATGAATGAATGTTGTTAAAATCAGATAAACTTTAGCATTAATGTCAGTGAACGATGGAAAGGGATTGCATTTGCAATTTTTTTTAAAATGTAATTTCTATTATTATAACTGTTTAATTATAAGACATATGGAGCACAATTGGTGAATGTATTCAAGTTAAAATCTAACAAAAAATATACTTTTATGAGGTAAATTTATTCAGGCCCTCTTTTACAAAAAAAAAACTTAGGACTAAGACCAAAATTTATTCTGCATATAACTTTCTATGATTTGAAATAAATTGAAAATGGTTTTAAACTTTTTGAAAGGAATGTTGGCATATATTTTCATGTTTACAATTTTAAAGTCAATGATTAATTTTGCAAAATTTCACAATCAAATAAAATTTGGTTTTAGTCGAAGTTTTCTTTTAAAACTGCACCCTGGATTTATGTTTAAAAAATGATTTATTAGAAAGGCTCAAATTAGTTGTGTAATTCAAGTTAAATTAAATTCTGTTTAAAAGCACTCTTCGCAAACAGCATTTTTATAGATCAAGAGAATATTCGACATTGAACCAAACGTTCAAATGAAGAGCCATAGTGCTACCTGGATGTTCAAAAGTTATGACCAAGGTTAAAGTTTTTGAAAAAAGTGGGCCAAACTCTGGGGTTAAGGTAAAAAATAATTACACTCGTCGAAAGATCTCGTCACAATAAATACATATAAGTTGTGAGCCCTAAAATTGCTTTAAAAGCTCTAGGGTAGAACTAAGGTAAATCACTCCACAGTATTTTAGAAGAGTCCATGCAGATCATCTTGCTTTTAAACTATTTATGAAAATTCAATTTTTATAACATATTTAAATTCAATAATGTTAATGTTAACATTCAACGAAAAAAAAAACTGCCAAAAAGCTACCAAAAAAAAAAAACAACAACAACAAAATTTATGAGGGACTATTCCTTGTGGTGGAAGGATATTTAGCAGATACATGTAATTCTCCAAATCTGCACATTTATAAAATTAAGTATCTTGGAAATTAAACCTCACATACTTTTACTCCGAGAATATTTTCCGTTATGATATTGCTAGAAATATTTAATATAGGTCTTAATTTATATTTTTAGAACAAGTTTAACACCTTCCTTTAACAAACTTTGCCATAAAATGAAAATATGTCAAATAAGTCTAGATAAGATTTATACAATTTTTCGCCTGAAAATCACATATTTTGACCAATATTTAAAAATTAACATCACGAAAACCAAATATTCTTTCAATATCTAAAAAAATACTCAATATACTTGTGACTGATCAGCACTATAGTCGTAAAAATCTTGATTTAAGAAAATGTTTTATGGCCTTTTTAATTTTTATTACCCCAAATATGTTCCTTTTTAGTACAAAAAGGTCACACAATAATTTACACTCAATAATTTGCAAGAATTGTTCAGTGATAAATAATATTCAAACTATTTTATGTAAAATTAAATTATATGTATTACCATGGTAACATCTGATAAGATACATATGATAAAGGTTAAAGTAATTTACCAAAGAGTTTAAGTTGAAGTGCAAAAAGGCCAACCATAGATCAGTAAGATGTACACTGACCCCTATTTCCTCTGCGATTTTGAGTCACACTATATGAGTATTTATCTAAAATATACTTCTCAAAATATATATCCTTGATTTAACCAATATCACGAGTGATATACCGTAAGAGAGACTTAGCTGACCATTTTCTGAAAATCAAATAATGAAGGAAGTGCTAGTTTTTCGGCTCTTTGTGACCAATCTGACAGCCTGTGAGAAAATCTTCATGCTCATTAGCTAATCCAAATTTATTGGAAACTGCATTAGATGTGATTTTTCCGTGGTCATACATATACTAGGGCGGGATTTTATTGTATTTAGATTAAATAATCAGATTTCTGAGCTCCTATGAATCTTTCATTTTTACCTCGAATCGATCTTTGAATATATCTATTCTTTCCTAAAATATCTAACGCGTTTTTGTTTTAGAAATATTTTTTAGTTAATAAAAATTCAAAAGTCTAGACAACCTTTGTTTTATTACAAATCTTATTCAATATTCATTTTATGTTTTTATTACATGTATATATTATGATTTTTTAATTTTTATTTATTTATCCAACTATCTGATTGGCTCAAACTAGATTACTGGATCAAGTATTAAAAGTGTTATAGACTGTTTTTTTTTTCTTTTTTGTAATTGTAAACAAAATAACAATGATGGTAAAAGCTTGGCTGCCCAAAAGGAAGAGAAATATGATGATTAGGTTTAAAGGTCTTGCATTCAGTAACAACACATAAAAACATGATTTCTGTTCTGTCTCCCATCGATCACTATCACTATTGTTAACGGACTTCTGTACCGTGTATTTAACCCAATATTTTGACCTCTTATATTTGCCTCTCCTGTTATCAAAAACAGTTTTAGTTTTTTTTATTTGTTGTTAACACGTCGACTCGATCATTAAAACTATGAAATTACATTTTGCATCATACAATAAAGATTATCAACATTAAATTTCTTACAGGGATTAAGTATGATCAGTAAACGGGAGAGTAGAGGAGGGGAATTAAAATACCTCAGCAGTATGAAAATTAATAGCACCATGGCCTAGACCAAATTACATGTACGCAACCAAATAGCCAAGATTTCTATAAATCTGGTTATGGATACTACATCTTAAAACATTCTTCGTTTACCTCCACTATGTCAAGGAAAAGAGAAGTTTTTCATTTAATGCATTTTCACTACCAATTCAATACAGACCCACCCTTACATCAGAACTTGCAAACATGACGTTCACAGATTTGGAAAAGGTATCATCATCATCA